TATATATATATATATATATATATATATATATATGTGTGTATATCACGAAAATAAACACATGATTAAGAATGTGACAATGTCAGACCACGGAGGGAAAATGAAACAGGAATTTCCTTAAGTACTTTCGTATATTAAATATTAAATACATCTTCAGAAGGTCCTTCTGAAGATGTATTTAATATACGAAAGTACTTAAGGAAATTCCTGTTTCATTTTCCCTCCATGGTCTGACATTGTCATATATATAAATATAAATATAAATATATATATATAAATATGTTTTTCGACTACCTAACCTACCTAACCTAACCTAACCTAACTTTTTCGGCTACCTAACCTAACATAATGAAATGGGTAACCTATAAAGATAGGTTAGGTTAGGTTAGGTAGGGTTGGTTAGGTTCGGTCATATATCTATCGTTAATTTTAACTCCAATAAAAAAAATTGACCTCATACATAATGAAATGGGTAGCTCTATCATTTCATAAGAAAAAAATTAGAGAAAATATATTAATTCATGAAAACTTGGCTTATTAGGCAAATCGGGCCTTGCATAGTAGGCTGAGAAGTGCGTTCTGGCTACTAGGTACGACATAAATATATATATATATATATATATATATATATATATATATATATATATATATATATATATATATATATATATATATATATATATATATATATATGTCGTACCTAGTAGCCAGAACTCACTTCTCAGCCTACTATGCAAGGCCCGATTTGCCTAATAATCAAAGTTTTCATGAATTAATTGCTTTTCGACTACCTAACATATATATATATATATATATATATATATATATATATATATATATATATATATATATATATATATATATATATATATATATATATATATATATATATATATATATATATATATATATATATATATTATATATATATATATATATATATATATATATATATATATATATATATATATATATATATATATATATATATATATATATATATATATGTCGTACCTAGTAGCCAGAACGCACTTCTCAGCCTACTATGCAAGGCCCGATTTGCCTAATAAGCCAAGTTTTCATGAATTAATTGTTTTTCGACTACCTAACCTACATAACCTTACCTAACCTAACTTTTTCGACTACCAAACCTAACCTAACCTATAAAGATAGGTTAGGTTAGGTTAGGTAGGGTTGGTTAGGTTGGGTCATATATCTACGTTAATTTTAACTCCAATAAAAAAAAATTGACCTCATACAAAATGAAATGGGTAGCTTTATCATTTCATAAGAAAAAAATTAGAGAAAATATATTAATTCAGGAAAACTTGGCTTATTAGGCATATCGGGCCTTGCATAGTAGGCAGAGAAGTGCGTTCTGGCTACTAGGTACGACATACATACATACATACATATATACACATACATATATATACACACACACTGTATGCCAAATTTTTAAAACTATACGAGGAAGGCACACAAACATTCATACCAAAACAGAGATGCAGGACCAGAAAACAGGATTGGTTCGACAGAAATTGTGAGAGGGCAAGAGACCAAAAGACACAAAAATGGAATCAGTATAGGAAGAGGCCAAACCCCCAAACATACCAGCGATACAAAGATGTGAGAAACAATTATACAGCAGTAAGGAGAGAGGCAGAAAGAAATTTTGAAAAAGGGATAGCAGATAAATGTAAAACAGAACCGGGCCTATTCTACAAATTCATAAACAACAAATTGCAGGTAAAGGATAATATCCAGAGGTTGAAAATGGGAAACAGATTCACGGAAAATGAAAAGGAAATGTGTGAAACATTAAATGAAAAGTTCCAAAGTGTGTTTGTACAAAATGAAATCTTCAGAGAACCAGACACAATAAGAATTCCAGAGAACAACATAGAGCGGATAGATGTGTCTAGAGATGAAGTGGAAAATATGCTAAAGGAGCTCGGGAGGAACAAAGCAGCTGGCCCAGATGGCGTTTCACCATGGGTTCTGAGAGAATGTGCATCTGAGCTCAGCATTCCACTTCACCTGATCTTTCAGGCATCCCTGTGTACAGGAATCGTAGCAGACGTGTGGAAACAGGCTAACATAGTTCCAATCTACAAAAGTGGCAGCAGGGAAGACCCCCTCAATTATAGACCTGTATCATTGACAAGTGTAATAGTGAAAGTATTGGAAAAGCTAATCAAAACTAAATGGGTAGAACACCTGGAGAAAAATGATATAATATCAGACAGACAGTATGGTTTTCGATCAGGAAGATCCTGTGTATTGAATTTACTCAGTTTCTATGATCGGGCCACAGAGATATTACAGGAAAGAGATGGCTGGGTTGACTGCATCTATCTGGACCTAAAAAAGGCTTTCGACAGAGTTCCACATAAGAGGTTGTTCTGGAAACTGGAAAATATTGGAGGGGTGACAGGTAAGCTTCTATCATGGATGAAAAATTTTCTGACTGATAGAAAAATGAGGGCAGTAATCAGAGGCAATGTATCAGAATGGAGAAATGTCACAAGTGGAGTACCACAGGGTTCAGTTCTTGCACCAGTGATGTTTATTGTGTACATAAATGATCTACCAGTTGGTATACAGAATTATATGAACATGTTTGCTGATGATGCTAAGATAATAGGAAGGATAAGAAACTTAGATGATTGTCATGCCCTTCAAGAAGACCTGGACAAAATAAGTACATGGAGCGCCACTTGGCAAATGGAAATTAATGTTAATAAATGCCATGTTATGGAATGTGGAATAGGAGAACATAGACCCCTCACATATATTATGTGAGAAATCTTTAAAGAATTCTGATAAAGAAAGAGATCTAGGGGTGGCTCTAGATAGAAAACTATCACCTGAGGACCACATAAAGAATATTGTGCGAGGAGCCTATGCCACACTTTCTAACTTCAGAATTGCTTTTAAATACATGGATGGCGATATACTAAAGAAATTGTTCACGACTTTTGTTAGGCCAAAGCTAGAATATGCAGCAGTTGTGTGGTGCCCATATCTTAAGAAGCACATCAACAAACTGGAAAAGGTGCAAAGACATGCTACTAAGTGGCTCCCAGAACTGAAGGGCAAGAGCTACGATGAGAGGTTAGAGGCATTAAATATGCCAAAACTAGAAGACAGAAGAAAAAGAGGTGATATGATTACTACATACAAAATAGTAACTGGAATTGATAAAATCGATAGGGAAGATTTCTTGAGACTTGGAACGTTAAGAACAAGAGGTCATAGATATAAACTAGCTAAACACAGATGCCGAAGAAATACAGTATAAGAAAATTCACTTTCGCAAACAGAGTGGTAGACGGTTGGAACAAATTAGGTGAGAAGGTGGTGGAGGCCAAGACCGTCAGTTGTTTCAGAGCGTTATATGAGAAAGAGTGCTGGGAAGACGGGACACCACGAGCGTAGCTCTCATCCTGTAACTACACTTAGGTAATTACACTTAGGTAATTACACAGTGGGGCCTTAATTTACGATGGTAATCCGTTCCCAGAGACGTATATTGTAAGTCAATATATCGCAAGTTGAGAAGATTTTTCCCATAAGAAATAAAGGGAAATGAATTAATCCCTTCCTGACTCCCCAAAAAATTAACTTCAAAGTAAATTTTATACCTAATTCACCCAAATCTTCACTACAAAAGTATGTACAAGTTATTACTTACCTTTACTGATGACTCCTGTTGGCATATGGAAGATAGTGAGGATGGAGAAGGAGAGGTTTGAAAGTCCCCTTCCATTATAACATCAGGCAGTGATGATTTCTCTGGGATACACTCTCTCCTACATTTTACCTGCATAGTACTAGGACCTGGTTGTGGTTCACTGCTAGTTTGTCTCACTAAAAATTTGTCTAGCGACACTTGTTTTTCCCTTCGCTTTAACATTTGTCTGTAGTGATGCATCACATTGTCATTGAAAAGGTTAAGGCAACGGCCTGCTGTAGCTTGATTTGGGTGAGTCGTTTCAGCAAAACTTTACAGTTCTTCCCATGCTGCACACATGTTCTTAATTTTTGAGGAAGGGATATTCTGTACTGCCTCTATGGTCATCCTCACATGTGTTTTCATATGTTGAACCTTACTACCAACTTTCTTGGGACCCATGGCATGATATATAATAATCAGTTTATGGTCAAAAAGCAAAAAATCACCAACAAAATTGAATTTCGTATAAGTGTGATTGTCACTAAGCGGGCGGCTCTAGTAAACTGAGGCAGGTCGGGTCCGCACGACCGCGAACCATGTGCTCAGTCGACCCGAGCGTGTGTATATATACATGTGTATAAAATAATAGTGTGTATATATGTATATATATACACACACACACACACAGTATATATAAATAAATAAGATGTAAAGTAACAGGCTGAGAATTTTCCCTGCCCATTGCTCATAGTAAGCCTTACCCACTACTTTTCCCTGGAACACGACCAGCCAATCAGTTAACAACGAAGAACCCAGTTACTGCTGGGTGAACAGAGGCAAACAATTAAGGATTACCACCTAGTCAGTCAGAACAGGACTTGAACACAGACCAAATCTCTTGCAAAGTGCAGGGCGAATGTGTGAAGAAACCATGCTTTTGGCTTCCAATGATCCAAACCTATTTGTTCTCAATACATATTTTAAGATTCCACGGCAACGCCGGCTTGTGGTGGTGGGTGGGCGATGGTCCCCAAGGACTGCAGTATTGAAAATGCTTGATGTAAATTTTTAACAGATCTCCTTATTTAAATAATGAAGAAACCATGCTTTTGGCTTCCAATGATCCAAACCTATTTGTTCTCAATACATATTTTAAGATACTGTTGATACAGTATTTTCCTTAAAGCTCCATTGATTTTGTCTTGACAATATTTTCTGCAATAAATGTTTACAAACAAGCTTACACAGTGCATGAACAAAATAGACTTGTACTGTTTTCCATTAACAGAAAATTCATCTCTTTAAACAGGAACTATGATCTTACCTGGACTTGGGTTTGTCACTAGCAGGGGTGGTTGCTGTAGAGGAGGCAGAGGGCGTGGTGGCCGATGAACCTTCCTCTCCGTCCTCTTCCGAGTCCAGCACAATCAGCTGACTTTGGCGCACAAATATACCACACCCGTCCTTGTACTGCACTGCTATTAATACAGTACAGTGGTACCTCGGAATACGAGTGTACCTGAATACGAGTTTTTCGGAATACGAGCAGGATTTCCTCGGAAAATGTGCCTCGGAAGGCGAGAGTTACCTCAGAATCTGAGTTTGTTGATACGCGTACAGGCCAAACTAGCACGTGGTGGTACGGCGATCGTAGCCCCTCACCCCTCAGTTTACCAGTGCCTGGCGTCCAGTGACTATCCCACCTCAATTCTTCACCCGGATTTTCAATGTTTTGTTGGATTTTTGGTCATTTGACCATAAAAGTTGTTATTATATATCACACCAAGGGTCCCAAGAAAGCCTGTGGTAAGGATCAAGGCAAGAAAGCACATGTGAGGATGACAATAGAGGAAAAACAAGAGATCATTCGGAAGCATGAAAATGGTACATGTGTTGTTGAACTTTGTAGGCAGTACAACAAAGCCAAGTCAACGATATGCACTATACTTAGCAAGTAAAACGACATTATGAGTGCTAAAGTGGCAAAAGGCATAAGAACGATCACGAAACAAAGACCACAAATACTTGAAGAAGTGGAAAAGTTGTTATTAATTTGGATACACAACAAGGAGTTAGCGGGTGATAGTGTTTCAGAGGCCATCATTTGTGAGAAAGCCAGGGTATCGCACGAAGACCTTGTAAAAAAAAAACCTGGAACGAGTGCAGATACGATAGACTTTAAGGCAAGCAGGGGATGGTTTGAAAAATTTAGAAAAAGAAGTGGTATCCATTGTGTCATTGTGTCATAGTGTCATCCATATCCACCACACATCTCCTCCTCCCCCCTCCTCACCATCTTCCACACGCCTACAGCATTCATCAGCAAGGGTAAGTAATAACTTGAACATAGTTTTGTAGGTTTATTTAGATGAATTAGGTATAAAATTTAGTTTGAAGTGAGGTTTTTGGGGTAGTCAGGAACGGATTAATTCATTTCCCATTATTTCTTATGGGGAAATTAGCTTTGGATTACGAGTTTTCGGAATACAAGCTGTATCCAGGAACGGATTAAACTCTTAAACAGAGGTACCACTGTAGTAGAATGGATGCTAAATTAAAATTGCAAAACACAGCAAGCCAAACACAAGTATCCAATCACGTTTGTTCAGTTACTGAGCACTTTCACATTTATACATGATTTAAATGTATGACCTAGACATAATTCCAAAGATGGTTTTATTAGTGATGGAATCAACATGTTGGTTATAACTGTACTCTATTTTTATTATGGTTCATAAACATTACAAGCTAGTCTAAGCATTTCCATCTGTGCTTGTTGTCTGATTCAATTTGTCAAGCTTCTTATTTATTTATCTTGGAAAGCCCAAGTGCTATAATTAGGCGGGAAGAGAAACGAACATCTGATCCACATGGCATTTAGTCAACAGACGAAGAAGTCACACCGGGTATGGGTGCCATCTTACCTTGAGGTTATCGTGAGATGATTTCGGGGCTTAGCGTCCCGGTGGCGTGGTCCTCGACCAGGCCTCCTTTTTTGTTACACGCCCCGAGGAAGCAGCTCGTAGCAGCTGTCTAACTACCAGGTACCTATTTACTGCTAGATAACAGGGGCATCAGGGTGAAAGATACTTGTTGCACATTTGTCTCCGCCTCCACCGGGGATCGAACCCAGAACCTCAGGACTACGAATCTGAAGCGCTGTCCACTCAGCTGTCAGGGGCCATGAATATAAACATTTCATACCTTATAGACAAATGAGCATTGGCTTTTAACATTATGAACCTACCTTACCTTGAGGTTACCTTGAGGTGCTTCCGGGGCTTAGCGTCCCCGCGGCCCGGTCGTCGACCAGGCCTCCTGGTCGACATTTTCATCCTTCCGAATGATCTCTTGTTTTTCCTCTATTGTCATTCTCACATGCGATTTTTTGCCTTACCACTGGCTTTCTTGGGACCCATTGTGAGATATATAATAACAACTTTCATGATCAAATGCCCAAATATCCAACAAAACACTGTAAATCCTGGTGAAGAATTCAGGCGGAATAGTCACTGGGCGCGAGGCACTGGTAAACTGAGGGGCGCTCGCCGTGCCACCACGTGGTAGGTCGGCCCATACGCATATCAACACTCTCGTATCCTGAGGCAACACTCGTATCCCGATGTAAATTTTCCGAGCAAATCCTGCTTGTACAGTATCCACTCAATTTAACGGCCTCTTTTATACCGATCTGCCGGTATTAACGACCGGTTTGGGAGACCGGTATCTGGAGCCTGCTATACGGGTCTGCGGTCGATATTACCGACGGTCGGTATTGGGTTTGTTGTGGCATCAGCGTCCCCTCACATGGCGACCAGGCCACCGACCTGGATCGTCCAGAGTCATATATTACATCTTAATTTTCTTTTAAAATGATTCACTTTAACCCTTAACATGCTCGGGGTCTAATATCCTGCTATCCACACAGGCGCATGTCATTTTGAAAAAAAAAAAAAATTTTTTTTTTTTTGCTAATCTGTTAAGTTCTGTTCACTGATCACGGGAAAAATAAAAAAAAAATTCTATTGTACTTACTTTTGTTGCAATAGAGCCGAGAAGCTCTGCGATGACGTCACAATCTGCATGGTCGCTCATGCAGTACACGCCCGGGAGATGTTGCGCGCGGTCCTCAAACAGCCAGAGTTGCCACAAATATATTTTCGCGCTATTTATTTACAATGTCTAAGCGCATTTTATCTAATTTTTTTTCACTAATTGTGTTTCAAATACTGTTTGAACATATTTTGTATCAATAATTGTTGCATATTTGAGTATACACAGGCGCACACAAATGTTTTCAATTCCGGCAATATAATATGTCATTACAGTCTATTATATTATATGTTCTGCTTATATGTTTACATATTTACACACTCGCACACGCTATACACACTTTGAAGCACACTTAGAAGATTTCTAGACTGTGGTAGTCATTGAAGCAGTCGACAGCACATAATGGGATACCACACGTTTCACACCATGTTTGCACAAGCTTCCGTTTCTTGTCTCTACGTGTCGTTGTTTTACACACCAAGCAATCACGTTGGGCTATTGCACGCTTCACACCAGGTGGCAAATACTTAAGTTTGTGTGCTAGGAAGCCTTCAGTGTGAGCGAGGCGTGGAGTACCAGCATGCTGCAACAGTGGGTTTATGATGGGCCGCTGAATACCTGGGACATCTTTTGCAAACTTTCCTAATAACTGTATTGCAGCATCAAATACAAAGTCACGGAAAGTGGGCTTACGTCCAGTTCTCACAAGGTACATGTTGAAACAGTTCAGCATGCTCATGTCCACAAGATGGAAGAACACTTTTTTCGTCCACCTACATGTCTTCCGCACACACTCTGCAGTGCCAATCATCATGTCTGATTTATCAATCAACCGCATGTTGATATTATAGTCTAAAACACAGTCTGGCTTATATAGTGGTGCGTTTGTTTTATGGCTCACTTTCCCACTGTTCACCATTGTTCCATCATGAATTGTTGTCAACAAGTTCACCTCTCTTTTGTCTTTCCACCGAACTGACAGAATGTTATCACTTTTCCTTCTCTGACACTCACCAACTGCAATGTCGTTGTCAAACACAGGCATTTCCCTTCGTTGTGGCTTTACTGTACCAACCAATCCGGTTCTATTTTCTAGCAAGAACCGAGCTAGCAAGGGACTTGTATAGTAATTATCTGTGTATAAAATGTGTCCCTTGTTCATCCACGGAGCCATGATGGTCTTCACTACACTCCCCGAGAATCCATGTTCGTCGTTACCGGGAATGTCTACATCACTAGCCGAGTACAGAATCATGTGTAACACGTATCCTGTCTCACAATCACAAAGAACAAAAAATTTCAGGCCAAATCGGTTTCGTTTTGAGGGAATGTACTGTTTGAATGGAACACGTCCCTTGAAAAGTATGAGAGATTCATCAACCACCAGCTTCTGTGCTGGTACGTAAAAATCTCTGAATTTTCCAATAACATCGTTCATGTAGTGCCTCACTCGCCACAGTCTATCATCAGGTGTTCGGTCCTGAACACTTCCAAAATGTAGACACCTGAGGAGTATCTGAAACCTGTCTCGTGACATATATTTCCCGAATAAAGGTGTTGGTATTGTCTTGTCCTTGCTCCAATAGTCATTTATTGCATGTTTGTGACAGTGCTTCATCAACAGAGTGCCAAAAACACATACATTTCCGCCACTGTGGTATTTTTCCAACGCTGCAGTCGTGAAAATTCTGTGATTTCCCTCTCAATCAGGTAAGCAGCATGCAGGTTCGTTTGGTGTACAATGTATTCTATGAGTGGTTCATCATAGAATGCTGTAAAATATTCCATCTCAGCCATGTCCTCACCTTGGTTAGGGAAAAGGTTTGTAATCCCTACATCTTTATCGTCAAAGTGAGGAATATTAGGAATAAAATCGTCACCATCACTCCACTTAAGTACACCAGGCGTCCTGCGAGATGCAGAGGAAAGACGGCGAGGAAGCGATGCATACCGGCGACCAGGAGCTGAATACCGTCTGCGAGAAGCACGGCGGCTACGTGCACGTGAGGTGGGTGCACGTGAACACGAGGGTCTTGGTCCCTCATGTGGTGCCATGCGGTGGCGCTTGGCTGGGCGAGATGCTGCTGACGCGACAATTTCTCGCCCAGTTACACCACTGGTACCAGCCACAGGCTCAATAAAACTTTGATCTGAGTCACTAAACCCAGAAAAGGAGTCACCTCCCTCTGACTCGTCACCCTCAAACAGAAAATATCCACAGGAACTGTGAGGTCGTGGTAGAATTGGGGTAGAAAATGGGCGAGGAGGCATGGGAGAGCGTATAGGCCTCGCCATGGCATGGCGGTCATTTTCACTTTCACTGCTGCTGCTACTATCTCCCGACAACTGTGTATAATCCTCATCGTTGTCTGAATCGTCAAACACACTTTCTTCACCTTCAGAGAATAATTCGTGGGCTATTTGCTCTGGGGTGAGGGACTGAGTGATGCGTGCTCGTGAGGCGTTTGACCGTGCGCTCGCCATGGTGACTCTCGCTAAACTGAGGCCTCCCATGCCATCGGAGCGTGAGCTGGATTTTTTTTCAAAATGGCCGCTGTTTACTAGAGCCCCTGGGCAGCGTATGGCCATTCAAATCGTGCGCGGTACCCATACACTTCATATGAAGTGAAGCGCAGTTGACTGGTAAAACGATTTACACTTCATATGAAGTGATGCGCACTTTAAGGGTTAATGAAGAAAATTGTAAATTATTATTAATAAAATATTTTGAAACAGTTTTTATTAAGCAAAAGTCTTTGTTTTCTTATTAAATACCTTTTATAGTATAGGCACTAGGTATTTTTTTTCCCACGGACCTAGAATGTACTCCGCCGGGCCATGTGTTCCCATTGTTTACTGTGAACTCGCGCGGCTAGCTTCAATTGTGAAGGATACTACTGTACTGTAATTGTGATCTTCTTTTTAATTTACAAAATGCCAAAAGTTACCCAAAGGAAGCGCCTGACGGTTGCACAGAAGCTGGAGTTAATTAAGAAACTTGATAAAGGATATTCTCATGCACGAGCAGCAGCAGAGTTTAACATCGGGAAAAGTACAGTAAGTGACATCAAGAAACAGAAGGATACTCTATTAAAATATGTGAGCACAACAGAGTGTGCTACTTCTGGTGCTGCATGTTCGAGAAAAACAGTAAAGTCTGGTCAGTATCCACAATTGGATGCTGCAGTGTATAAGTGGTTTATTCAGCACCGCACAATTGGCATGGCAATAAGATTTGAAGAGCTTAAAGTTGCAGCAAGTAAACTTGCCATTCAATTAGGTATAAAAGATTTCAATGCAAGTGATGGGTGAACTGCCTCCAAACTGCCTCCCGGCGGATTGGCGCAAACTGTCCCAGCAAAGCAGATGACGCAAAAGCAGCCTAGACAAAAACCCCAGCTAAGGGCCCTCCACCTAGCACCCCCACATCCACTCAAAGCCAATCCGAAGACAGCTCTAGAAGACAAAAGAAATGCAAGACAGAGGCCAAATGACAGTAAGTCCAAAGTCATCGGCCACTAAAGCAGACGAAAGAAGATATCTGAGCATGCAGTTTCATCAGATCAACTACCAGAGGAAGTGCAAAGGCGAATCGCACTCATTGAGAAACTCCAGAGCTTCCACAAGAACACCTGCAACACCATGAAACCTCCCACCACTGAAGCACACGGGTATGACAAAAACTACCTGCTTGATACCTGCTTAATGGGGTTCTGAGAGTTCTTTTACTCTCCAAGCCCAGCCCAAGGCCAGGCTTGACTTGTGAGAGTTTGGTCCACTTGGCTATTGCTTGCAGCGGCCCGCAGGCCCACATATCCACCACAGCCCGGTTGGTCCGGCACTACTTGGAGAAAATGATCTAGTTTTCTCTTGAAGATGTCCACAGTTGTTCCGGCAATATTCTGGCCATGCCAAGCCCCCAAGAGAAAAGAAGAAACAGTCTGCCAGGCAGGAAGGCTGAAGCACAGAACCTATCCAATATGGGGAAAAGGAGCTGAACTCAAAGGAAGCCTGATCGCTCTCCGAGGCATAAGCCAGGTCCCGCAGGAGATAAGTACTGAAAGCCTCCAGAACCTCTGCAGTGGAAATCAGAGAAAACCTCTGGAAGAGGTTCCTGGGGAGGAACCCCACCCAAGACAAACTCAGAAAGGGAAGGAGGGAACAAAAACCCCCCTCCTTGCAGAAGACGCCCCTGTGCGGAGGGCACAAGGACCAGAGCAGGATCAAAAGGAATCCAAAAGCTCCATGTGGACTCCCCTCAAGCCCCGGAAACCATCTACAAAGGCCCCTCAGCATCGCCCACCACCACAGAAGGAAAGGCAGAGTCCAAGGTAAAGGTTTTGTAGAAGGAAGTCTGCCGGGACGACTCGGATGTCTAGGCGGGAAAGAGAGGCTCAATCACCTCCGCGCCCGCATTGGAAGGGGCAGCCCCCGAAGCCACCTGAGCCTTACCCAAATTTAAACTCTGCACCGACCCCGAAACCCCCACTGATGATTGGGAGCCGGAAGCGGGGAAAGAGCAGCCGGATGAACCACACCGCACTGAGGAGGAGGAGGAGGAGGAGGAGGAGGAGGAGGAGGAGGAGGAGGAGGAGGAGGAGGAGGAGGAGGAGGAGGAGGAGGAGGAGGAGGAGGGAGGCGCGGACTGAACCAAGGCCGAAACGACCAACTCCCTCAAATCCGAGTCCAGAAAACCCAAGTGGGGAAGCTATGGGGCCTCCAGCCAGGTAACCAACCTATCTTATTGCAACAAAGAAAACTGATCATGCAACGCAGTTACTGCCTGATCCCTGAGATCATCAGATAAGGGATGAGTAAAGTGGAGCACAAGTAGGGAATAATTCATGCAAGACTCCAAATTGTAGGTGTCCCCGACCCAACAGGCAGCATGACGGAGACAGTACAGATGATTGTACTGTACCTAATGAAATGCTCGTCGCCCCTGAGGCAGTGGTAAGATGACATACTTTAAATGTAAAGTGTTCATGGGCCATTGCTCCCTTCACCTCTCTGAGGGGGGCCAGGTTCTGGCTTATGGTCCCTGGTGGGCTTACAAAGAACTCTGCAAATGATGACACTCAAGTAGTATGGCACTTGATAAGTGATCAGGGAGACAACGGGGCTCCCCACAAAATACTTTAAAAACACTCAGCAAAATATATAGGAAAACTAAAGAATATGGCATATAATACAGTGTATTGTAATATCACACAATAGCATATAAATAACTACAGCCTGGCTGGACTGGGTATTCCAATTTGTAGCCTTAACCACTCTCCAAATACTTTTCTGCTATGACATATATACATTAAAGTAGTTATAAAACCATTACACACTAGACAAAAGCAAGCAGGCAATAAATCACAATAATGTGACTAAATATTAGACACCCAACCCGCGCATCTAAAAATAAAGGAAGTGACGCTGTTTCGCTCAATCGTGGACTATTGTCATCACTTCCTTTTCAGATGTGTGGATTGAGTGTCAAACAAAAGTTGTTTGACAAACCTGGAAGTAAGATTTGCCCTGCACTGATCCGTTGTTCTTGCCCTTCTTCTCATCAAGGATAACACCAATCCACTTCCCTTGGGAGAAATGTGTGCTACCCACATAAGCAACTGTTCCAAGCGTATCTGTTAGCAAGCGAGAAAAAAATCAAACAAACAGCACAGATGCACAAGAAAAGAAACCCCTTTTATCGGTATCTTTTTAAATTTCTAAGAATCTAAAAATGTGATGAGACTATCTGACTGACTTAAGCTGTGACAGGATAAGTTCCTGAAAGCTACACTTGCATCACAAGAATGGGGGTTAACATTGCTTTTTAACTTCAGTTAAGTGGGATTAAATTTAATTATATAAAAAGGGATCAGAACCCCAAACCTGAGGTACAATAATGATTAAGACATTAAAGATAAATCTAGCAGACAAAAGCTGAAGTACAGGAACACATTTCAAGCCACTGGACTTTGGAGTGCATATGAAAGAATACATGTAATTACTAATTTGATATTACCTACTTATTTTGACTGAGCTATGCTCACAGGGTCCTGTGTTCCATATATATTTTATCTTTAATAGTTTTATAACTTTTAATGTGCATTGCACACAACTGTATTCAAACCCTCCATTTATTGGGAAATAAAAAAAGCTCCTCCCATGATTATTTCTTACATCTTCTCTTCTGTATTTTATGACTACTATATAACCTATAGTTCCACTTACTCCTGCTTTCAACATTTTTTCTTTGCTATCTCATTTTCTTTTACAGGCTTCTACTTCTGTTACTTTTGGTATATCCAAAGATCATTTTGTTGCAAAACATTTGGGCATATAGGATTTTCTTAATCTATTATGTGCCTTTATTAGAGAGAATTATATTACAGTTGCATGCTCCAGTTCAGTCTCCTCCATAACATGTTACAAACTTGTCAATATAATAATTTCTTCAACATTTCTCTATCCATGTATAGTACATAAAGTCTATTTAAAAAGATATAAAAAATACACAAAATTAAATCTTTAACATTTACATTATATTCTGATACTCAAGAATTGCTCAATCACCTGTAGTTCTTATTTTGGAAAATTTCTTTAAAATTTTGCTGCAGTCTGAAGAAGAAAATATTCTCATTCTGCCCTATCTCTATTATGTGTCAATTGTTTAATATTGCATTCCCTTAACCACCGTGCTGCGCTGAGTTTATTGTGAAATTCCCCCAGTGTGCATGAAATAAAGTGTTCGTAAAATGATAAATTCCTTTCCCTAAACCTTTCCCTAAATTCCTTTCCTTTCCCTATGTAAAAATAAATACCAAATTCCATTTACTTTGGCCGTGGGGACGTGAACAAGGTGCACTGTGACGTCATCAGGGCCTGGTCGCCCATGCGTGAATCGCCCAGACATGGTCACGTGGGCCATTCAAGCACCGGGTGTTACCACAAATATATTTTCAATGATTTGTTTTATGTATTTCCAATGCAGTTTTATTTGTTGTTGTTTTTTATCATATATGATGCATATTTGTGTCCTTTACAATATGTATACAGTAGAATGTTCATAATGTTCCATGGTACTGTCATACATGTGTCAGTAATGTGTCCACAATAAATATTTACTGTCGCAATATTACCCATTAAAAATTCACTAAAATTACAATATGCACAGTTTCACACACTATTTACACAGTAACACATTGTATTACACACTTAGTACTTCAGAAGCGAGTAATAATCAACGAAGTAGTCCATGGTACACAGCGCGACTTCGCTCTCGTTCCACCTGGTACAGATAAATTTTGCTTCCTGTTTCTTTATTCTGTGTACTTGCAAATAATGCACTCACTTACACCCTAGGCTTTAGTACTTGTAGGTTGTATGTAGCCACGCTTGTAAAGCATAAGGTAGTATTGAAAAGATTATAGGAAAAGATCAATTTGTAAGGTAATCTTGAAAAGATCGCTTTGTATGGTCCCACACAGGAAGAGATTCAGCTTGCCTCAAAGAGTGTCCGTCAGTTAGGAAGAGATTCAGGTATTCTTGAAAATATCAATGAAAACCACCACCATGGAAGTCGCTAACACTGTTCATCTATGCTACTTGTATCAGATGCATCATCACTGAACGCAGAAAACGATTCATCCATGTATAATCTAAATAAATTGGAGATAGCATAGGATTGTAAGGGTGAAGCTCAGAGCTACAACTGGATATGCTCGCTGCACTCATAGGTGCTGTATCACTTGCATCCGACCTTTGTGTTAAGTCCTTATTACGCCTAGCTTCACCAATATTATGTTCTTCAAACAATAAGGTTTGAATTTCACCGACAGAGCGTTATCTTTCAACACCGCGTCAGAAAAGTGTTTAGTGGAGTGGAAAAAAAAAGTGGAGCCAGAGGAACGTGCGCCACCCATGGTTGCTCATTCAATACTAAACCAGCTAGCAACCCTAGGGCATTCTGGGAATTTTTTCCAAGATGGCTGCCTCTCACTGGAGGTCCTATGAGTCCATTTCGTACACAAACAACCTCGTACACATTTAGAATTGGTACCAAAAAATCAAAAAGAGTTTTCTCAGTTGGCTCTGTTTCCCGCTGATCGAGAATACTCGATTGGTGCAGTTAAGTGGTTAACCATTCCTTGCGCCTTTCATTAGATACAGTATCTCAAACTAAGAGATGTAGACAATATAAAGGACACAGCAAACATCCAAGCTGATGTTAATCAAGTCTTTCAATGGGCCTCAGAAAATAACATGATGTTTAACCCTTTAACTGCGCAACGCGCCTGCAGGCTCACGTCTGGGGTGTGCTACACGTCTACAGGTATTTGTATTTTTCACGTTCCATTTAAAACTCCCGCAGCTACATGGGGTTCACATCGGCTTCGTTAGGGTTCTTGAAAACAGACGCCATCTTTAAAAAAAATCATGGTCCACATTCCCGGGTGTGAGAGCCTCAGTAGTGAGTGAACACCAAGGCTGGCGCTCGTAAAATGAGCGCACAGCACTGCTGTTCAGTGTGTGACCACAGCATCGCTTAATAATGTCATAATATATAACCTGTATTATTTAGCAATGATAGTATTATAGAAGAGCCTTAGTGTGATAATAACTGTGTGCAATGTTCAAATATCAGTGATTCAATGCTGTTCACAATGTTCACAGCGCTAGCCACAGCACCACAGCATTATTTCGTCCATCTAGGAATCTTCAAACGACTTCTTAGGTTCCTTTTCTAAATAAACTTATGGTCAATTATTCATTTACAGGAACTAGTGACCAGGATTGTGGTTATAATTAGCATTGTGCATAGTATTGTGGAAGGAGGAATTTTGGTGAAGGAGGAAGGAAGGAAGGAAGGGAGAGAATTGAGGTAGCCTCACTGTGTGTGGCAACCACTCTTGTTTTGCTCACCATACTAGCTTCGTGGTTCGCTATGGGGAACACACATGTACATGGGTATATACAGTGTGTGTGTATAGTGTAATAACAGCAACAGGAGTATGTTGAGTGGAGCTATTTTGGTGAGGGAGGTGACGTCGTAATCGTAGTGTCGTCTGCTGTGTGACTTCTCATGCAATGTATGGTGGCCACTGTACTGTTTGGACACAATACCAGCTTACTTGCATAGTTCTGGTAATAAAACATGTAGATAGGTATATATAACATGTGTAAATACTGTAGTGTAATAAAAACAATAACAGTATATGTTGTATATATACATAAATGAACATGAAACATTGGTGTGAATAACTGTATGATGGGAGGAGCAATGTTGGCGAATACAATGTTGGAGCAGTGAGTGAGGGCTGGCTGGGTGTGACAGCTCACACTTGCGGTGTTCTGAATGTGTTGATGGTGAATGTATATAGTGTGTGACAGTGTATAGTCAGTAAATAGATTGTATATATACATACATAAATTAGCATAATACATGGTAAATATGTGCAACATATGTGTACACAAGTGTCATGCACGTAACACAGTGTCCTCGGACAGTATGGATGTTTTACTGCCATAATATAGTGTACATGTTCATTATACATAGGATTAGCACGTAAAAACAAATAAAATGTATTTGGAACTGTGCGCAAAAAATGAACAAAAATATATTTGCGGCAACTCGCGCACCCCGCCCCGGGCGCCCTATTGGCCCCGGGAGCGTACGTCACGGGCGAACGGGGAATGACGACGTCACTCGCCAGCTTACGGACCCCATAGCAGCCACAGTAAGTACAAGGGTCTTTAACCCTTTAACTGTGCCTTTGCCTTTAACTTTGTAATTTCAAAATTTTTTGGACATACAGTGGTACCTCGGAATGCGATTGTCCCTATTTGCGAGGTTTTCGGAAGGCGAGCAGTATTTACTCCAAAAATTTGTCTCGGAAGGCGAGGGTTACTTCGGGACGCGAGTTTGTTGATACGCGTACAGGCCGACCTAGCGCGTGGTGGTTCGGCGATCGTCGCCCCTCTGCCCCGCCGCGCTTCAGTTTACCATTGTCTCGCGCTCAGTGACTACCCCCACATCAATTCTTCTCGCGGATTTTCAGTGTTTTGTTGGATTTTTGGTGATTTGTCTATACAATTTGTTATTATATATCTCACCATGGGTCCCAAGAAAGCCAGTGGTAAGGATAAAGGCCAGAAAGCTCATGTGAGGATGACAATAGAGGAGAAACAAGAGATCATTCGGAAGCACGGAAGCTGTGGGGAGTCACTCCGGGATTTTTTTGACCTTATATGCATATACCCCTATAGAGAATTCTATTGCGAACACAATACCAAAACAAACGATGTAGCATGAGAAATAAGGTGAGAAAACTGAAACGAGTATATACATTTTACTGATTTTGTATGTATTTGTCTGGTGTACAAACTGTATGTATTTGTCTGGTGTATTGAGTGTAGCAGGTGTGGCAATGAGTGTACTCTAGCGGGTAAGGCTTTGGCGACTTTAGGGGTCGTTGCGGGTTATGCGCCCCCATGTTGTCTAATTTATATGCATATGTCTGTGTAGGAAATTTTGTTGTGATCACTGTGATCACTGTGATACAAAAAAGAACGATGTCTAACAAGTTTGGACTTGATAAACCTGAAAAGAGTAGCAACACGTTCACGCTGTTTGGCGTGC